CATGCAGGGCACAGGGACACCCATGGGTGCCCACAGGGCCATGCAGGGCATGGGGGACATCCCTGGGTGCCCATGGGGACATGGCAGAGCACATGGGTACCCACAGGACCATCCAGGGCCTGGGGGACATCCCTGGGTCCCCATGGGCACATGCAGGGCACAGGGACACCCATGGATGCCCATGGGGACATGCAGAGTGTGGGGACACCCCTGGGGTGCCCATGAGGACATGCAGGACACGGGGACACCCATGGGTGCCCATGGGGACATGCAGAGCATGGGGACACCTCTGGGGTGCCCATGGGGACATGCAGAGCACATGAGTGCCCATGGGGACATGCAGGGCACGGAGAGATCCCTAGGTACCCACGGGGACATACAGGGCATGGGGACATCATTGGGTGTTCAAGGGGACATGCAGGACACACAGGTGGCCATGGAAGGCACAGGGACACCCCTGGATGCCCAGGGGGCCATGGAGGGCACAGGGACATCCCTAGGTGTTCATGGAGTCATCCAGGGCATATGCATGGCCACAGGACCATGGAGGGCACAGGAGCACCCCTGGGTGCCCATGGGGACATGCAGGGCATGGGGACATCATTGGGTGTTTAAGGGGACATGCAGGGCACACAGGTGGCCATGGGGGCCATGGAGGCCACAGGGACACCCCTGAGTGGCCACAGGACCATACAGGGCACGGGGACACCCCTGGGTTCCCACAGGACCATGGAGGGCACAGGGGACACCCCTGGGTGCCCTTGGAGTCATACAGGGCAGATGGGTGCTTATGGGGACATGCAGGGCATGGGGACATCCCTGGATACCCACGGGACCATGGAGGACACAGAGACATCCCTAGGTGTTCATGAAATCATCTAGGGCACATGGGTAGCCACATGGAGGGCACAGGAGCACCCCTGGGTGCCCATGGGGACATGCAGGGGACGGGGACATCCCTGGGTGTTCAAGGGGACATGCAGGGCACAGAGGTGGCCATGGGGTCATGCAGGGCACACGGGACACCCATGTGTGCCCAGGGGGCCATGGAGGGCGCAGGGACACCCCTGAGTGGCCACAGGACCAAACAGGGCACAGGGACACCCATGGGTGCCCACGGGGCCATGGAGGGCACAAGGACAACCCTGGGTGCCCATGGCATCATGCAGGGCACAGGGACATCCCCTGGGTGCCCGTGGGACCATGGCAGGCACAAGGGTACCCTTGGGGTGTCTGTGGGGACATACAGGGCCCAGGGTGCCCCTGGGTGCCCACAGGGACATGCAGGACACAGGGACACCCGTGGATGCCCATGGGGACACACAGGGCATATGGGTGGCCCCAGGACTATGCAGGGCACAGGGATGCCCCTGGGTGCCCAAGGGGAACATCTAGGGTACATGGGTGGCCTCAGGACCATGCAGGGCACAGGGACACCCCTGGGTGCCCATGGGGACATGCAGAGCACGGGGACACCCATGGGTGCCCATGGGGACATGCAGAGCATGGGGACACCTCTGGGGTGCCCATGGGGACATGCAGAGCACACGGGTACCCACAGGGCCATGCAGGGCACAGGGACACCCATGGGTGCCCACAGGGCCATGCAGGGCATGGGGGACATCCCTGGGTGCCCATGGGGACATGGCAGAGCACATGGGTACCCACAGGACCATGCAGGGCACAGGGACACCCCTGGGGTGCCCATGGGGACATGCAGAGCACATGGGTACCCACAGGACCATGCAGGGCCTGGGGGACATCCCTGGGTGCCCATGGGGACATGCAGGGCACAGGGACACCCATGGATGCCCATGGGGACATGCAGAGTGTGGGGACACCCCTGGGGTGCCCATGAGGACATGCAGGACACGGGGACACCCATGGGTGCCCATGGGGACATCCAGAGCATATGGGTACCCACAGGGCCATGCAGGGCATGGGGGACATCCCTGGGTGCCCACGGGGACATGCAGGGCACAGGGACACACCTCGTTGCCCATCCAACCATGTGGACCCCCCCCCTCCATGCACCCCTGGGTGCCCACCTCTCCCCGGTGGGTGCCCAAACGGTCCTGCATCCCCACACCACCACCCCCCAGGACCCCCTGCCTGCCACGTGCCCATCCCCGTGGCCTCAGGCCTCTCAAATCCCATCTCTCTCTCTCCCCGCCAGTCGCCCGCCTACACGCTGGTGTGGACGCGGCAGAACCACGGGACGCTGCCCGCCGGCGCCGTGGACTTCAACGGGATCCTCACCCTGCGCCGCGTGCGCCCCGAGGACGCCGGCGTCTACGTCTGCACCGGCTCCAACATGTTGGACATGGACGAGGGCACCGCCACGCTCTACGTCCAGGGTGAGACCCCGGGGAGCAGCTGGTGGGCACCTGCGGGGACCAGGTGGGCAGGGTGGTGGGTGACCAGATGCCACAGCGATGGGCAACCCAAGTGGCAGGGTGATGGGTGACCAGACAACACTGTGATGGGTGCCCAGATGTCAGGGTGGTGAGCACCCAGATGCCACAGTGATGGGCAACCCAAATACCAGGGTGATGGGTGCCCAGACACAGTGTGATGGGTGCCCAGATGCTTGGGTGATGGGTGCCCAGACACCACTGTGATGGGTGCCCAGATGCCAGGGTGTTGGGCATTCAGATGCCACAGCGATGGGCAACCCAAATACCAGGGTGGTGGGTGCCCAGATGCCACAGCGATGGGCACACGCAATGCCCAGATGCCAGGGTGATGGGCACCCAGACACCAGGGTGATGGGCATGTTCAATGCTCAGATGTCATAGTGGTTGGTGCCCAGACACTACTGTGATGGGTGCCCAGATGTCAGGGTGTTGGGCACTCAGATGCCACAGCAATAAGCAACCCAAATAGCAGGGTGATTGGTGCCCAGACACCACTGTGATGGGCACCCAGATGCCAGGGTGGTGGGTGCCCACATGTTGGGGTGATGGGCGCCCAGCACCACTGTGTTGGGTGCCCAGATGTCAGGGTGGTGGGCACCAAGATGCCACAGCAATGGGCACATGCAATGCCCAGATGCCAGGGTGATGGGCACCCAGACACCACTGTGATGGGCATGTTCAGTGCTCAGATGTCACAGTGGTGGGTGCCCAGACAGCACTGTGATGGGTGCCCAGATGTCAGGGTGGTGGGCACTCAGATGCCACAGCGATGGGCAACCCAAATACCAGGGTGGTGGGTGCCCAGATGCCACAGCGATGGGCACACGCAATGCCCAGATGCCAGGGTGATGGGCACCCAGACACCAGGGTGATGGGCATGTTCAATGCTCAGATGTCATAGTGGTTGGTGCCCAGACACTACTGTGATGGGTGCCCAGATGTCAGGGTGTTGGGCACTCAGATGCCACAGCAATAAGCAACCCAAATAGCAGGGTGATTGGTGCCCAGACACCACTGTGATGGGCACCCAGATGTCAGGGTGATGGGCACTCAGACACCAGGGTGATGGGCAGGTTCAGTGCCCAGATGCCAGGGTGATGGGCACCCCAGATGCTGGCATGATGGGTGCCCAGACACCACTCTGATGGCGCCCAGATGCCAGGGTAGTAGGCACCCAGACACTGGGGTGATGGCCACGTTCAGTGCCCAGATACCACTGTGATGGGCACCCAGATGCCAGGGTGGTGGGTGCCCACATGTTGGGGTGATGGGCGCCCAGCACCACTGTGTTGGGTGCCCAGATGTCAGGGTGGTGGGCACCAAGATGCCACAGCAATGGGCACACGCAATGCCCAGATGCCAGGGTGATGGGCACCCCAAATGGCAGGGTGATGGGCACCCAGACACCACTGTGATGGCGCCCAGATGCCAGGGTGATGGGCACCCAGACACTAGGGTGATGGCCATGTTCAGTACTCAGATGTCACAGTGGTGGGTGTCCAGACACTACTGTGATGGGTGCCCAGATACCAGGGTGATGGGCACCCCAAATGGCAGGGTGATGGGCGCCCTGACACCACTGTGATGGGCGCCCAGATACCAGGGTGGTGGGCACTCAGATGCCACAGCAATAGGCAACCCAAATACCAGGGTGATGGGCGCCCAGACACCACTGTGATGGCACCCAGATGCCAGGGTGGTGGGCACCCAGACACTAGGGTGATGGGCACGTTCAGTGCTTAGATGTCACAGTGGTGGGTGCCCAGACACTACTGTGATGGGTGCCCAGCCACCACTGTGATGGGTGCCCAGCCACCACTGTGATGGGTGCCCAGCCACCACTGTGATGGGTGCCCAGCCACCACTGTGATGGGTGCCCAGCCACCACTGTGATGGGTGCCCAGCCACCACTGTGATGGGTGCCCAGCCACCACTGTGATGGGTGCCCAGCCACCACTGTGATGGGTGCCCAGCCACCACTGTGATGGGTGCCCAGCCACCACTGTGATGGGTGCCCAGCCACCACTGTGATGGGTGCCCAGCCACCACTGTGATGGGTGCCCAGATGTCAGGGTGGTGGGCCCCCCAAATACCAGGGTGATGGGTGCCCAGACAACACTGTGATGGGCACCCAGATACCAAGGTGGTGGGCACCCAGATGCCACAGCGATGGGCAACCCAAGTGGCAGGGTGATGGGTGCCCAGACAGCACTGTGATGGGTGCCCAGATGTCAGGGTGGTGGGCACTCAGATGCCACAGCGATGGGCAACCCAAATACCAGGGTGGTGGGTGCCCAGATGCCACAGCAATGGGCACATGCAATGCCCAGATGCCAGGGTGATGGGCACCCAGACACCAGGGTGATGGGCACCCAGACACCACTGTGATGGGCATGTTCAGTGCTCAGATGTCACAGTGGTGGGTGCCCAGACAGCACTGTGATGGGTGCCCAGATGCCAGGGTGTTGGGCACTCAGACGCCACAGCGATGGGCAACCCAAATACCAGGTTGATGGGTGCCCAGACACTACTGTGTTGGGTGCCCAGATACCAAGGTGGTGGGTGTCCAGACACCACTGTGATGGGCGCCCAGACACCACTGTGATGGGTGCCCAGATACCAGAGTGGTGGGCGCCCAAATGCCACAGCGATGGGCACCCCAAATGGCAGGGTGATGGGTGCCCAGATACCACTGTGATGGGCACCCAAATACAAGGGTGATGGATGCCCAGACACCAACATGTTGGGTGCCCAGATACGAGGGTGGTGGGCACCCAGATGCCACAGCAATGGGCACGTGCAATGCCCAGATGCCAGGGTGATGGGCACCCCAAATGGCAGGGTGATGGGTGCCCAGACACCACTGTGATGGCACCCAGATGCCAGGGTGGTGGGCACCCAGACACCAGGGTAATGGGCATGTTCAGTGCTCAGATGTCACAGTGGTGGGTGCCCAGACACTACTGTGATGGGTGCCCAGATGTCAGGGTGGTGGGCACCCCAAATACCAGGGTGATGGGTGCCCAGACACCACTGTGATGGGTGCCCAGATGCCAGGGTGGTGGGTGACCAGACATCAGGGTGATGGGCACATTAGTATCCAGGTGCCAGGGTGACGGGCACCCAGTCACCAGGGTAATGGACAGGTTCAGTGCCCAGATGCTGGGGTGATGAGAACCCCAGATGCCAGGGTGATGGGTGCCCAGACACCACTGTGATGGGTGCCCAGATACCAGGGTGGCGGGTGCCCAGATGCCGGGGTGATGGGCAACCCAAATACCAGGGTGATGGGCGCCCAGACACTACTGTGTTGGGTGCCCAGATACCAGGGTGGTGGGTGCCCAAACGCCACAGCGATGGGCACCCCAAATGGCAGGGTGATGGGTGCCCAGATACCACTGTGATGGGCACCCAAATGCTAGGGTGGTGGGCACCCACATGTCGGGGTGATGGGCGCCCAGACACCACTGTGATGGGTGCCCAGACACCACTGTGATATCCCCATCATCCTCATCATGGTGGGTGCCCATATGTTGGGGTGATGGACGCGCAGACACCACTGTGATGGGCACCCAGACACCAGGGTGGTGGGTGCCCACATGCTGGTGTGGTGGACACACTTATCACCCAGATACTGGGGCGATGGGCATGCGGGCACCAGGGTGACGGGCAGGTTCAGTGCCCAGAAGCTGGGGTGATGGGCACGCTTAGTGTCCAGACGCCAGGGCAAGGGGCTCGCTCGGTGCCCAGACGCCAGGGGGATGGGCAGTCACCCAGATACTGGGGTGATGGGCACCAGGGTGACGGGCAGGTTCAGTGCCCAGAAGCTGGGGTGATGGGCACGCTTAGTGTCCAGACGCCAGGGCAAGGGGCTCGCTCGGTGCCCAGACGCCAGGGGGATGGGCACGCTCTCCTGAAACCCGTACCCTCTTGCAGCCCCCTCCAAGACTCAGATGTTTTACGGGCCCGTGGAGTTTATGGAGGGGCACAGACCGGGTAAGTCACCTGGGGGGGGGTTTGGGGGCCGGGAAGGGGGGGGGTCCACTCACTCTCCCCC